ACCTGATGCGTTTTATTAGGATTTTTCTTTTTAAATTTTTTATTATTACTGCATTTTTATTTGAGCACGTTTCATTGGCTGTCTGGGTATTTCAGGTAGAAAGGTAAAGTAGAGATAGTTTAAATGATTTAATTGAGAACTGTTTTATTGGGTCTGTTCAATGGAGAAAGGGAGGATAATCTTAACCATAATAATCACAGTAATAGCAACTAAATAATATAGGGAATAAGGCCGTTAGCGGGTTATTAACTTGTTTGGGGCTTTTTTTGGGAGAAACCCCCCCTACGCTATTGACTATTGAACTAATGATCTTTCAGAACGGCTGTTTGTTATTTTTTACACAAAGCACTCCTTTACTCTTACTATTTTGTGTAACCTTTCCTCTCGCTTTCTGTAGGGTATTCCAGGTCCACACGGGAACCCAGGGCTACCGGGGCTGCCTGGTCCCAAGGTATGCTAACACATGAACAAAACTGCTGTGTGAATCCAATGATCTTCTGCTATGTCCATGTTTGGAATGGTTAAAACCTGCGTGCACAGAAATTAGAGTCATGTATTTGGTTTATAAATGAAGTCCTGACTATAAATGGTTCTCAGCAAATATAGCTTGTAAACAGAAGTGCAAGACTGAGTGCAAGCAGACAGTACTGTAGAATTTTTAAAAATGCCCAAAGAATTAAATATTGATATGGATTTTGCTCCTTTAAGTCATCATTAATTTTTGTAAGTGAGAACCGTTTCAGATGGAAAACGTCACCAAATTGCGTCAAAGATTCAGTGATGGTTAAACTGGAAAGACAATATTAAGCTTTGATAGATTAAGGCCTAGCAAGCGACTCCGAACTCAAACCAGAGGAGCGCAAGCTACGTAAATAGTTTTGGACAGATTTGTGCCGTTGTGGAATGCCTTCAGCTCATATTTAGTTATAACAGTTTGATAGATACGTTGGAGGGGGTGGGGTAGGGGGAAACGCAGCCCCAACAATGATTTGTTTTAGTGTGATTCCTCATGGCAGGAATCTGACCTGTAGTGACAGGTGTTAAAAATTGCCCCGGGCCAAGAAAATATATCAAATAAGGCTCTCACAGTTTGACATTGTAAAACAAAGTAGCCCATGATTGTTGGGGCGCCCTCTTATTAGCATCTGGTGTTTTAAGAGCAGGTAAGTGGAATATGTAAAGTTCACTAGTTCTATCTGTGTGGGTTTTACGGTGAGTTAAAATATAGACAGACCAATCGGAAGCTGTTGCAAGCTGCTTGTTGGACATATCCTATGACGTTCTTTTTCAGTGACAAGGTCGCTCGTATTTTGAGGTAAAATGTTGGCTTCACCAAAACCAGTGTTTAAGGCTCTGTTGGTTCTAACATTACCGGGCGTTTGTTGGTGTGTTTTTTTGTACTTAATTAGTTCAGAAAGCAAGAATTGCTTTGTACTTGCTCCATGGGGTTTTTGTGTCTTTTGTAATCCCAATTCCTGCTGATTTCTTAGTCCAAGGGCAGTTATTTATTAATCAGCCACAGATTAATTATTTCACACATTAATATTCAGTGGCTATATATTTTATATGCATGGCAAATCTTTCGATAAGGGTCAGTATACAAATCTAATAAATAAATAAACAAATAAATAATGGCAAAATAGCAGCTGGGTGGTCGATTACATGGGTGATACATTAGCAAAGTATTGGAAGAAGAACCTATACACTGGGCCTTTCTGCACTTACCAATAATAAAAATTATAATAATTTATAATGGTATAGTTGCTGGTTGTTGATTTTGGGGAGTTTATTGGCATGGTGCCATACAACATCATCATTTTCCAGCCACTATTAATGTGCTAAAAAAAACCCCACCCCTGTTTTTTCTTCTACTGCAAAAAATCCAACATTTGTGAAAGCTCAATAGTTTCATTTCATTTGTACAAGCATCCCTCCCCTTTTCTGTGTGAAGGCAATGAGAGGTGATAGCTATTGTTTTAGAGACATCTGTTTAATGCCACTTCCCTTTGACTGGAGCAAGCTGTCAGTTTGCAAGCTATTTAGTTCAGAGAAGAGATACAGCAAATCGTAAATGGAGTTCAGAGACTAGCTGTTGCTCAGGCAGACACACATAGTTCCTCTCATCTGAACAAACCATTCTAGGGCAAACTAAATGTACAAAGAGCCAAGTCCCACTACCTTCCATTTAATTGCTGCCCCTGTTTATTGACAGCTGACTGAGGTTAAAACTCTCAGGGGTTAGTTAGGTCATTTGCTATCATGCGTGTAAGATTATAGTGCATTGTATAGTTTTATTTTTGGTCTTATTTCTGGTCTGTTGCCTAAAATAAAAAAACTAGTTAATGCGAGGTTGAAACCTGGATGTTGGCACTTTGCCTACTATAGGAGGGAGCAGGAAGCAAGTTGTGATGTTCCTTCTCATCCTTTACTGTTTTTTGATTGACATTATTACTATATCCTTCAGGGTTTTTTTTCCTCTTTAGTACTGACAAAATCCATCAGCTGCCTTTTTTCAGGATTTGGACGTATACAAAACGGAACATGTCATGACATATATATTATTAGAATGCAAAACAAAGCAACATATACTCCTCCTTCTATGACCCAAACCCAGGAAATAACAGAAGAGGAAAAAGTGAAGAATGGTGATTGAGTTAGTGAATGAGAGAAGGAATTGGAAAAAAACACACCAGAGACATCCAGAATAGGCAGTGCTTTTTTGTGACAGTAGTCACTGTCAGCACCTCTAGTTTGGTTGCCCATGGCAGCCATTTTGGGCTGTCACCCACAGCACTTCTATCAATATATGAGTAGTGGCACCTTAAAAAAAAAAAAAAATCCCCAATGAGAATTAGAATTCGGACCAAACACCATTGAATGTAGTGCAGGCATTGTGCCTGTTGTTTATCAGATGTTGCTTCTGTCTGGCAACTGGTGACTGTATCACCAAAACTCACATTGAGGAAGTTGTAGCTCCATGGGAAGCTAGTGTTGCCTCAATGCCAGTTGCTGCTCAAATTACTACTAACAATTTGTAGGTCTCGACATACTGATTCAGGGTGCCGAACACTTTTTAATCACCCCTGTTCTTCCAATTGTAATAATATGTAGAGACTTAATGGTGTAGTCTTATTCAGATTTACTTATTGTGTTCAATGGGGCAACTGTGTTTGGGATTGCAGCCACAGAACCATTTTGCATGTTCTTTTACCATGTTGCCTATTCAACAACTATGATGAAATGTGTGTTTCAGATAATTTCTGGTACTATATTGGTTAAGTTTAAACTAGTTTGCAGAGGCCAGAAATATATACTTTGCTGCATTCTTGTAGATGTGAAACCCAAGTCATCCATTAAAAAAACAACTCCAGAGGTTCTGACATGGTAAATGCATGTGTAAAACCATTGATGTATGGCATTAATTTTGGGACACAATGGCCTACTTAATTAGTTGATTTCCATTATACCATTTTAAAAAAAATATCATAATTTTATTAATCTAGATTTTCACGGTATCTTACAAAAGAGAACCATGAAACAAATATAAAACAGATCAAAAACATCAGAAACAAAAACTATCGTAGCAACAGTAAACATACAAAAAAGTAGATATAAAATCAGTTAAAATCCTGGGCATGTTTTAGACATTATAATTATCCATATCTCCTAAGTAATGATAGCTATCATATGTTGTTGTTGTTTTCAACTCTTTATTTAATTTCTCAACCACAGGGTCCCAAAGGTGATCCAGGATTCTCCCCAGGACAAGCAAAACGTGGGGAAAAGGTAACTAGTTTAATTTTTTGAGAGCCATCCCCACAAATGTTTGAAATTTTGCCAATATTCTTATACTCATGACGTAAAATTTAAGTCTCTCCTGAATGTTTTCGGTAATAAACTACAGGTAGCTTGTTTATACTGGGGGATTTGCAGATTGGAGGAAAACATTTATATTTTATTGTTAGATACAAATCAGAACTAGTGCCAAAGTCAGAGTTGTGTTAAAGCAGACATCAAAAGCAGGTGTAGAAATACCCTTTCTTGCCTTGAAGCTCCATCTGAATCTGTATCTGGAAAGCCTAATAACCCTAGCTACATTGTTCAGAAAAATGGTGCTAGATCAACTCAAATCTCGTTTCAATATGTGCAATGGTGCTCGTGTAAATCAGAGTTCTGAGAAAATAAGGTGGCATGGTGGGCAACCTAGCTAAGTCATAGAATGCATTCTTCATGTGCAGAAAAGCTCCAGGTTCAATTGGTAGTCTCTTGCTTGAAAAAGTATCCAGGTAGCAATAGAAAAGATTTTTTTCCTCACTGGGAATGCCAAGGATTGAACCCTGAACCACCTGCATGCAAGGCACGTGCTGTGCCATGGAGATATGGCTTCTGTATTGTCTTTTGGAGATATTTCTGATGATTTACTCAGGTTCTGTGCATACTGAATGGTGTTGTGTGGGTTTGCTTGTGTTGAACAGGCTGGGGAGGTGGGAGACTCCTGTGGTGACTGAATGGCTCTATCTTTAGGAAGGGGAACATAGTGGCCTTTATCATGTCTTCCAGCCTTAGACATGCTATGATTTCATCCCTCCCCAATATTGTGACAGGTTACAATAATTGTTTGAATTCTGAAATTACAGGGCGATACAGGACTAATAGGCTTGCCAGGCCTTGTAGGCATCAAAGGTGAAAAGGTAAGGTGTTGTTTTTTTAAATTTATTATTATTATCATCATCATCATCAACAACAACAACAACAACAACAACAACAACAACAACAACAACAACAACTTTCAGTGCTATTACTAGAAGTCTACAAACAGAGAATGCTTGAGGCTTATGTACACACAGAGTTTCAGTGTGTGGAAGGGTTTCCTTACAGACCAGTGCAAAGCTGTCCATGAATAAGATTGCTAGTGAACAAACAGAGCTTTGGATCAGAGCTCTAGTTACAGGTAGGTAGCCGTGTTGGTCTGCCATAGTTGAAACAAAATTTAAAAATTCCTTCCAGTAGCACCTTAGAGACCAACTAAGTTTGTTATTGGTGTGTATCTGAAGAAGTGTGCATGCGCACGAAAGCTCATACCAATAACAAACTTAGTTGGTCTCTAAGGTGCTACTGGAAGGAATTTTTTTATTTTGGATCAGAGCGTAATTGTTCAGTGACAATTGTGGCTCTCAAGTCTTGATCAATATCTCTTTCCAGAAGCCTTTTAAAAAATAATTTGCCACAAAACCCTATCTACAGCAATGTCAATTTTTTGAATGCGTCAACTTCGGAAAACATGAGATTGTGGGAATTCAGCAAGTGGAATTTTGTTCTAATATTTGATTTTGCGGGGATCTAATGTCCCTTCTGTGACTGATTGCCATGGGATCCTCAAGCTTGTTCTGTTTTAGCTTTTGTCACAGAGGTTAGCTAAATGAACGCTTATGGAAGGCAGTTTCTCCACTGTACGCGGCAGCAAACAAAAAATGGAATTGCAGTTGTTTTAATTTCTCGGCGCTGAAATTTAGTGCTATAGTCATTCGCTTTGTGCCACAGTTGATATGCTTTCTAGGCTGACAGCATAGAGATCTTTGCCACATCTGTGTGCTAATTTAGCAAATGATATCCATTAACCTTGCTATGAGGAGCTGCTTGTAAATAGTGAAGCATTTTGAACTGAACAAAACTACAGTTCTGTCCTTTCCCATTTCCTCTACCATCTGAGTAGAAAATAGCAGGGCCGCCGGTAGATTTACTGGAAGTACGTGCTGCAGTGGTCATTTAAAAGTTCCAATGTAAGTTATGTTCTAAAACCACAGGGGTGATGCATGTTTATCCATCGAAATAGCTTTCATACATCACAAGAACCAAAATCTTTTAAATGTGCTTTTATTCACTTTACCATAGAGTTTGAGCAGTAATTTATGTAGTAAAATTCTTTCATGGTGCCTTGGCTACTGTAGAAAAAAATTATGAAGTTCAAATATGAGGGGTGATGGGAAGATGAGGAAAAAGTTATTGGCTAAACCAAGCACGTCCAAAGTCCGTTTCAGGGGCCTAATCTGACCGGTTTTATCCGGGTCTTGTGGCAGTTTATTTATTGGTGTCAAATCCTAAAAACGCTCAGCAACTTTGGTCGACCCTCACGCATGTTCACTTCTGGCCCTCTTTGAAAAAGGTTTGGGCACCCCTGGGCTAAACAATAATAACGTGTTGTACAAGGAAATATGTTCTTATTGTTAGGCTTAATGAATCCAATTAAAACATGTTGGTGACCATGCTTTTGTCTCAAGATCTGTTAGTCTGCTTTTTATTTTGAGACATAATTTCAAAACTTCCTCACTTCCAAAAACGACGCATGTAGATTATCCCAAAATGGTGTGCGCTGACTAAGACTCTTTAAGTGATCTTAAAGAGAAATTTTATATCATCTCTGCCAGATTGAGGTACAGACTGCAATAGTCACAAATGTGATTTTATGTGAACACTTCTCTAAGTGTCGTCCTATCCTTCAGTCAGTTTCAGAACCTAAAAATGTACTCCACATGGACAGATTTTCCCCCCTCCAAAATCCTAACATGCCCATTTCTAGTTGCAAATGGAAAATGTGGATGGGCTGTTGATGACATGTTGATGAAATGTATATACATAAATATAGTTCATTTTCCATTCAGAGTGATGCAAGAAAACGCACACAGACAAAAGTATCCTTCAATGCTTCTTTATATTGCTTAAGCCAATACATCTGGTCTATATTTTGGCAAAAACAGACCTACTTTTTCATGATTACAGCTGCAGTAAACTGTGAAATTAATTAACCACGTTGCAATTAGTTTATTTTAAAGGCTGCAGACATAATGCAAATTGATATGATCATATTTGTCAGCACATGCTCCTTTCTTTGCTGACCAAAATAGTTCTCTTAAAGAACCTAAAGTAAATTTAAAATCTGTCTCCTCAAAGCAGCTTTCCCTTGCCTCTCCAAAAGCTAGCCGTGAGAGTCATAGAGGAGACGTTCCCAGAGAGGAATTCAGTGCTGCATTAAGGGTTGTAGCTGAAGTTCTACAGTATATGTGGAAGGCATGCATTTGGGGTTCTTTGGATGTAATTTGGGTGCACTTTTCCTCATGCTGGATGTGAAGTCTGGACTCTATAGACAAAGTTGGGCTGGTTTGACTGTAAGAAGCATCTGAATCAATTCTATGGAAGCCATAAAGCAGCAATTCAAACGTACCGCTCCTCACTGTTGCTTCTAGAATCTATTCCAGACACAGAACAAATATAATATGCTTAATTAAGCAGAACTGTAAGCAAAAGATGAGTTAGCAACTTGAAATATTACAAGACAGAAGCTTAATGTGCTTAATTGTTACATGGTGGGGGAAATGTTCAATTTGTACATTATCTTGTAAGTAAAACGTTTTAATGTAATTTAGATTTTTTTACATAAAATAATCATGAAATAGAAATAAAATATTCACTATCAGTTGCATGCATAGAGGTGTTTCATTGTGTGTGTTTTTTTAAAGTCCAGAAAATTACGGCTCAGATTATCTAGTTTCAGGGACACTTCTGTGCCTGAATAGAATAGAAAAGTTCAGCAGATGCACAAAATATACCTCATTTTACGTAATCCGCTTTGCAGTTCACACTTATTTGCATGTGTTTCCTGGTTTTGTTTCCTTGGGGGGACTCCAATGAGAAGGAGCTGAAACCTAGACCACTCACTCTTTTTTTAACCTATTGTGCTAAAAAAGAAACTAGTTTTTTTAATATTGTGGCTGGCTTCATGTGTCCTCACTTCATATGTGTGTGTAAGGACTGGTTGTCAGCACCTGGAATCCTTGGGTGTCTGTCAGGGCACCAGTATCCTGGCAGGTCCCACTCCTGATGCCTGCCCTGGGCCCCTTGCTACATTTTTTCAAGGAGCACTGGGCAGCTGCCATTTTGATTTTCCACAGTGTCTCCCAATATAGCATGTAGCTCCAGGACATCATGATATGTGAAAGTGGCCCAGCCCCAGTGAGATGGTGCTGTTTCTGCTGCCTACCAGTGCTGCCAGGTATGCCTGCCAGGGTCACCAGTAGAGAGGAGAGGGGTACATCTGTTGTAAACAAAAAATTGCCCTTTTCCCTTATGGGGTATCCAAGAGCCCATATAGAGTCCTTACATAGGTTCCCTATTGGTAGGAGAAAATAACAGAGGCCAACCAGAGAATATTGAGAAGCAAAGCAGCTAGTAAGCTTGATCTTTATTGATCTGTTGCAACAGGGTGCTCCCCTCACACGCAGGAGAGGAGGAGGACCCAGAAAAATGGTGTGCAAGGCCTTATAAAGACTTTTGAAATTCCCATCCTGTAGATCAGGACCACCCCCAGAAACATCATACATGCATCACAGAAGGGGTGTAACCTAAGACCACCCCTCAGATACATCACACCTACATCACAGAAAAGGCGGTCCAAAATAGAAATTTTAATATTGTTTTTCTCCTGTTGTTGTTTATCTCCTGTCTGGCAGGTTACTTGATTGGATTTCCTGGGTAGCCTGGCCTTTCTTTTGTAGTGATAAATATTTAGTTCCTGGGCCATGTCACAGGCTCACACCTTATTCAAACACAGACATACCCTTAAGACAGGATTTGTGAAGGAAAAGACAATGGGGAGGCTTTTCCACTTTGACCATGCAGAGAAAACATTTACTCAGTTTAGGAATCAAAATGGTTCCGGGTTGGTCTTCCTGTGCTGATCTGTGTATGTGCTTGGTTGGTACACTTATGAACATTACCATATATCTAAGACCATAAAATTCCTGTTACACATCCAACAGCCATTTTGCCCACCACTCCAAAGCTAGCCGTGTGTGTGTGCGCGCGCTGCGCGCGCACAACACAAGGCAATTTTTCTACCCACAGTTTGAAAGGTGCTTACAAACAGAATGGATTTTGTGCTTTTTTGTGTTCAACTGCTGCAACATACCTTGGGCTCTTTTGTATGGAAGAAGAGGGAAATTCGTGAGATGAGCAGGTAGACCCTACAATGGAATGAATTCCTAGAAATAGCAAAGAATTGATCAGAGCGTAATTTTGGTTTTTTGGGTGATCATAAACTTTCTCAACTCACATTATTTTCCCAAAGCCAGACAGTAAAATTTACAGGTTTAGTTCACTTTCTTAAACAGCAGTAATTCTCTATAATACAGTTTAGGACAATGCTATTTAAGTAGTGAGACAACAGCTTGCATAAGCTGGCTTGTTGAATATTCCAAATTTATCGGAATATTGATGTTTTCTTTTATGTGTGTAAAACTATCTTAATTAATCTCTTTTCCTAGATAGCTTTTTGGAGCTGTCTGTGAAAAACTTCTTTATAGCTACCTCACAGTATTACTCAGAGTGTTGCGAAAAGGATTTGGAATGGGGGGAAACTGCCTGGACCGGATCCAGCATTCAGTAATTGCAAGCAGATTGCTCCTGGAGGTCTTTTTCATCTACATGTTACTTAATGCAAACCTCTGCTTGATTTCAGGTTGGCATATCAAGAAGTTGATAAAGAGTATGGAGATACAAGTCTCTCCCCATTTCTCACCAGTAGACTTGTCTTTTCAGACGCCAGCTGTTAAAACTAAGCTATATTGATATCAGATGAAAATAGGCTTGGCAAAATTTTCTTTGCTTAAGGGTGCGGAGGAGAAAGGGAAGCAGAGTGCCAATACCTGATGTATGTGTATGATCATTTCAGCATTCATTGAAACATTTATTTTATCTTTCATACCTGTAGGGTCCCATGGGGTATCCAGGACCACCGGGGCCACGTGGGGAGCAAGTAAGTAGTCCAGTCACAATCTGATGCATCTCTTATAATGCATCTCTTATTTAATAAAAGCACTTTGTGCCAGAGTTTGGGAAAGTGAGGCTGATACCTTAGGCAATTTTTGGAGGAACCAAAGTTCAATGGTAGAGCATCGTTTGCATGAATAAGGGGCTAGTTTCAATCTCTGGCAATGCCAGCTAGAAGGATTTCAGAAAAAACAGGACTGGGAAAGATTCTGGCATCTGAGCACCACTACTAGTCACAGTAGATAATATTGAGCTAGTTGGACCAACCTTCAGATACTTCAGAGACATTTTAGGAATACA